CTTACTGGCTCAAAATCAATCTATCTTCTATAGGGCTAATGCCTATTTTAGTGCCAAACATCTTCCCATCCAAATGGCCCAGAACTGTAGCTGGCAAGCTGCTTCATTTGGGAATGTCTCCTGATTTCCTTTTAGCCATGAGATTGGATAACGCAAAGGAGGCTATCAAACAAAGCCTGGAAGATATGAAACTCCAGAATAATCTTGCAGCTGCCCCAAGGCTATACCGACTTTATAACGAAAGAAGGAAACTGCAACCCACACAATATCTTTACAAGTTATCCTGTCCACATATGGCTGGGCCTTCTCTAGAGCATGCTTCAATGCCCTTCCCTCTGCAATCATGGATGATACAGACACCCTTCTGCCTCTGATGAAATGAAACCCTAAAACAGTGCTTCCCAAACTTTTTCCTTCACTACCCAAAACCACTTATCAGAAAGTCCTTTTTACTTAAGTTGATTTAAATGTCCCTGTTATGATGGGTAATGGGTTTATGTGTCATTACCCAAAGAAAAACCACTTTGGGGTAATTTACCCAGGTTTGGGAAGCACTGCCCCAGAACATGTCTTCACTCCCAGTTAATTCAACCCTTATTCAATAGGCTGCTGGCTGTTCAGACCAATGGTATTAAGAATTTTTCCTAATATTCAAAGAAATAAATACCAAGTAAATGCCCATCACAATTTATACAGTACCAAAAAATACTGTTGGTGAACATTCAGTCCCCGATGAATCCAGTCTTGCTTCCAGGAGAAGACTGTTCCAGAGAACTGGCCCCATGATGGATAGGCAGTGTGGGCATAACCCCCTCCTTTCCCAAAATCGAGGCACCATTCACAGCTTCTTCAGAAGGATCACCTCAGACAGGTTGACTCAGGTTGCAGGGCACACAAAATAGATTAATATGATCATGGTGGCAACAACAAGCAGGCTAATGAATTCTGAATCACCTGCACTTTCTAGGGGATCTTCAAAGGCAGCCCCATGATGAGCACCTAGAAGTTCAACTGAGGGCGTGGAGACTGAAATTACCCAACACCAAAGGGTGAGACAACTTCATTCAGCCCAGAAACTAGATCAAGGCATCCAGGGAGGGATCCAGTTGGACAGCAGATCAGTCAGTATGTCAGAAGGTTACCCAGTTTGCCCTTGCCTCTACAGCCCGACTTGACATGCAGGCACTTACATCCTGCCAAATCAAGAGCAGGGCTCCTGGTCACTAATAAGTTGTGCCATAAGATCAATGTCACCTATCGCCTCAAGCCCATGGTTGCTGCAGGATCTGAAAACCAGAAGTGCAGATCTCCAAGAGGGTGATATCCTGTCTTTACCCACCCAGTCTCAGGAATACATGCCATGTATGCCTACTCATCCACAACCAAGTCATGAATCAAAATAGTTCTGGTGTTTACCAAAAGCAACTTGAGCTGAAGTTCACCAGCAATTCAACCATAAGGACCCAGGATTGAGTCAGCAGGATAGAAACAGAGATCAATATTAAACTGTTGATCTCCCTTCACCTGCAACTCCCCCCAGCACCCCCACCATGTCTCCCTCAGTCTGTCACAACCAGAATTATGCTACCTTGACCCCTCCCTGAAAACACAGTTACATGCCACATCCATAATAAACCAGCCAAC